CAACTGGCTAGCCGAAATGCCTAAGTTCTGAGCTTACCGAACCAGGAAAAGCAGCAGCCAGGCAGCTATGACAATCAGGCAGGCAGCAAAGACATAATCTATACTGAGAGCGCTTCTTGTTCTTGATCTATCCCCTCGAGGAGGCCACACTGTCTTAGCACAGTCCGTATCGCCTAGCTGTGCCCGATAGCCATTCACAGTAAATCTCTCTGTGCTCACGCCTTGCTGGCTTCGTCTCCGGGTGGGGATCGATCTCGCCCGGCCTTGCCAGTGTCTAGCGGCATGAACACACAAGTAGCAACCTCCAGCAAGCTCAAGAAAGCTTCCAGGAATCGGACTTCAACCGGCGCGGATCGTTTTCATCCATCTCATCCTTGCCCTGCTGCGCGGGCAATCTCACAGGGCACGTCACGCATGAATGCAGCCATGACGAAGTGCCACACCATACATTCCCAGACCCGCAACTGGGTTTTCTTCAGACGTCAACAACAACGACGACGACAACGACACGGACATTCCAGGAGTAGCCGTGCAACCACACCAACACACAGTTAGACTGAAGTTTATCTTAGCTCAACAGGGAGTATCATCGGAAGCGTAAGGCTGTCCGCGTGTCAATGTTGGAGGGCCTGGGCTTGGTCCAACAGCTTCTCGTAGTGCTCTAAGCATTGGTAGGCGGTGCGGCCTCAAAACAAACTGGGCTGGATATGCCTGTTTTTCCTGTGAACATGGACAAGTTTCATTAAAGGTATGTAAATTCAGAGCCGGAGAAGGATGACTTAAGCTGATCTCTGGTGCTGCATCTGACCAGAATGGAGTCGTAAGACGCAAGCCCACGATGGGAGCTATTGTTCGCCACTGGGTTGGGAAGAGCTTCGCCAAATGCAGCAACTTCTCCTCTCAAGAAGGAGACACTGTCAAGACTGCCTCGCTGGGCACAATGCATGATCTTCATTCAGGCGAGTAGAAAGTAAGCACAGCCTTTGTGTGCTGTCCTCCTCCTCACGCGTCCACTCAGTCTTCTTGACGCTAGGGTCCAGCCTTGATCCATGATATGTGGGTATTGCATACATGCAACTTGAAGCGGATTTCGTATGTATGGCCCGATCGTGCGTGGCGTAAGCCCGACTAGGTCTAGAGAGCGTAGCCACGACAATTCGAGGAGCATCAACATCGGCGAGCTACAAAGTTTTTCATGGCCCAGAGCATATATGCAAACCCAAAAATCACACCACTAATGCAAGGCTCTGCATTTTTCTGCTCCCCACCCCGGTGACTCGCTGCTGAGTCATCCCTCCTGCGGGAAACAAAAGATTCGAAATAGAACATCTGCTGTATCTGATTTCAGAAATGAAGCAGCTGCGGTATGTCTTGCTACGGCATGGTGCCTTCCTCTACAGAAAGCCAGGAACTGGGAGGTAAAAGACTACCGTTTTCTGAGGTTGAAATGGGCTTCTTTCCCAAGTTCTGCTCTCAAGCTCGCCTGTGCAGTCAGTACCTTCCGGTCACGACCACTGGCCATGGCAATGCACATGTGTAACAAAGATACAGCTTCGCTTCAACATATCGGGCCATGGTAATAAGTACATTAATATCAAACATGTTTGCCTTCCTTTCAGCATGTCTGAACATGCTTCTGGGCTGTTAGTCAAAAGGACATGCCTTTGGGTCATTGCTGATACTCCTGAGAACATCCAATACTCCCAAGGAAACCGAATAGTTTTTAGTAACAAGCGCACAGCATTCAGCCATTGGAATCAGTCGCACCACCAAACAAAAACGGTCGTGCAAATGCAGAATTAGTCGCCCTACTGCGGAACTAGTTGTGCTTACACCCTACACTTGGCACAATATCGTTGCAAAGACACTTATACAACTCAAAGCCATGTCTGAGAAAGAAATCTCTTCCAGTAATGAATTTCGGTGCACTGAGTGACAATCAAGACAGATGTGCGTTGACCAGGTCCCCAGCCACTCGTACCAACGAGATTTGCACTGCTTGGGGCTTTTCCTGCAAGCATCTGTGGAACGCATAGTCAAGCCGGCAAGGAAACCCAAACGGGAACACAGGGCTGTTGTGAGAACTTCGGCTTCCTTTGGGGGAATGCATGTCAGGCGTTCAGCGCAGCAGCATGCCTGGCCAATAGAGACGCAACTCGAGGCCAGTTGTTAAGGCCATATTTCATGACCGCTGCCTGGCAGAACAATGGCTTCCCAGATATGGCTGCCGTCTCAAAGTCATGCATGACTCTGCCTTGAGCACCTCATCCTCCGAGTTCTTCCAAACACCTGGCTGCGCTCACCCACAGTCAGGGCAAGAATGTCTGACGCTCCTGGCCTCCCTTAATGAGGATCCTCATCTTCCTGGGCCACAGAACGAGATGAAAAAAGGTGAAAGCACCCAAACACATTACACTCGAGAATCCCATGACCCATAACTTTGTAAAGCGTTCCAGTTCTTGACTTGTGTTTATTTGCTCGGTGATGTTTTGTTTGCACTTGTTTGGAATCGCTTGGACTCGTGCCACAAGCCAACTAACGTAATTCATTTCAAATGGTTTCGCATGCTTCGGCAAGGCTTTACTGGCTAGATTCTCGTATGCATGGTTCGAAGGTGGACACCATGACTACATAGACCTCGACTTCAACTGCGGATGAGTTGCGCTTACCGTGGCCAGCCAGGGCCAGGACAAGCAAGCGAAGCTTTAGGGGTGCGACGCGCTTCTAGCAGCGCAGTCAAACACACGGTTAGATCCGTCTTCCAGATGTATGTCAGTGCAATTGAGTGGATGTGATGCAGGAATCTGCTGTACTTGGGTGGGTATACCTGGCATGGAAAACATGGGCAAACATGAGCCCTCTAACTGCGTTCTGTACTGCAGTCTCCATGTAAATCAGCTGCGAGGAATCACATCCGCAGGGGTGCCAACCATCGTGCAACTGCAGAATTGGAGCACCAAGGAAGGACAAGTGCGGCCATATCTCAAGAATCCCGAGCAAACTTGGCAACGCTGGCTTTGTCGTGCTCATAGGTTTGATTCGGAGGCACGGAGGCAGCACCTTGGCAAATGTCTTTAGCAAGCTGCCTTCAACTTAAAATCAGGGCGGAGGATGCAGGTCCAGCCTTTGGCTGAAACTCCCTGTAGAACTAGCCTGCTCTGTGCACGGCTCTGTACAGTTCAGGGAACAAGTCTCAGTAATCCATGAGAAGCACACGGTTCCGTGCTGAGAGAGCCACAGGGATTGAGACGGCCCCATGTCGTCTGGCTCCGTGAGCTTTAACACGAAGCAAAGTGGCGGACAGTGAACTGCCTACCAGCTGGCTCCCTCTGCAACGGCTATGCAGTAGCTAAAGATCCCTGCAAGCCCAGCTCAAGTCTAATCAATGAACGTCCGGCCGGCAAGACACCCCTCGTGTCTTGCAAGCCCTTTCTGTCACAAGGCAATAACTGATGTAACTGTACAACCATGCAATTGAATTTCAGATGGGTCGTTGTTGACCTCACCTGGAAACAAAGCTGGCTCGGAAACTGCTGATAGTCGCGGGCCAAATTTCCTTTGAGCAGCCTGCAAGATGTGCTGCCCATTCACTGCATGTCGAAGCTTGGGCCGCAGGGCCGTGAGCAAGTCGAGGATTCTTTGCTGCTCCGTGCCTTGACAGTCTTCCATGATTCGCTGCGCAATGTAGTTGCCAAAGCGGTCCAAAGCCTTTCAAAACTGGTTGCAAACAGAGCCCTTATGCGCCTTGCAACCCCGGCTAGACTTCCCCCGGACGCTTGCTGACTTTTTCATGTGCCCCTTTGTGCAGTGACTCCACCTGACAGGACTCTGATTTCCTGTCTACATCACATCCCCTGTAGCTCATGTTGGACATGTTGGAACTACAAGAAAATGTGCTGCCAACAGGCCATCTGCGCAAATGGCGAAGTTGCTGCGTCGCCACTGAGAATTGCTGACATTAAAGCGTTCCTCTCCTGGAGCAGTTCCGTCTGGTACTTGCTCTTTAGGGCATCCAGGAAACCTTCAATGACAAGGCTGGCATGTCGATTCTGTGCGTAGGCAAGCACATTGGCTGCCAGTGTTCTGCCGATGAGCGTGATATGACGTGGCGAACCCGAGCCGAGAACTGCACGCAGGACATTGTTTCCATATGGATCAAGGATCAACTGATGCAGGGTCTCCTGATCCAGAAGTGCATCCAGCAAAACCAGCATGCTGCCCGTATGGGGGCAGTGCTCAATAAGGCGCTGCAGCACACGACAAGAGTAAATGTGCAAAGCAGCATCCACTGCGTGGTCTTGGAGCTCCGCCACTATAAAGCCGACAGCATCATGACTGAGCACCTCCACGCAACGCTGCAGCACAAAGTTCCCGTGCCGATGCCGGCAGCATGCCAGGACGTTCCCGCGAAGCTCTTGGGCAAGCGACACGCAAAGTTCAGAAGGGGCAGCTTGCAGCGCCTCCTGCACTATCCAGCAACCGTGTTTGTCCTTCGTCAGCCTTAGCAGGGATCCACGAAGTCGACGAGTGATCTTCAGACGGAGGTCGTCAATTCCAGGCAAAGCTAACAGCTGACTGATCACAGGCATCGCATTTGGGTCACAAGCCAGCGCCTTCAAATCTGGCAGCAGGGACGTCACCAATTCCGTGCACAAGTTTTGCAAATGGATTCCGCTCAAGTTTGCGAGTTGGCAGCTAAGCATCGAAGCTCCTTCCTTGGAACGCAGCAGTGCGGTAACGTTTGGCACGTTTGTGCCCTCTGCTTTTCCATGTCTGTCCCGAGTCTTCTTGCTAGCTTTGCCAGGCAAGAGTGTGGGCAACATGGGCAGCGAAGCTGGAGGTATCTGCGAAGCCTGCGCAGCCTGCGAAGCCTGCGATGTTGAAGCTTCTTCCAGGCCAGGTGGAGGCTTAACAAGAACAGACAAATGATCTGAAAGCTTCAGCGTGCGTGTCGAACTCCCGCTTGAAATTCCTGAATCGATAGGAAGCTGCATAGTTTGCTGCCTCATGGCTTCCGCCAGGGCTTCGGTCATGACTTGCCCTCCCGGATGGTAGTCGGCCTGTGCATTGTGCACTGGCCAGCCGCCGCAAGCAGTGCGGTAGATGCCTCCATCGATCCGACCAAGGCTTTCACCAAGCATGGGGGGGTTTGTCATGCCTCGCGCGCTCCCCACCAGGTCGTTGGCCTAAGTCCTGGGAGTCCGGGGGTTCTGCTTGAGTCTTGAATTCCAATCCTTCAACGGAAAGATGTTTTTGCGCGCACCGGCTCCTACACCATCTGTTGTGACAGGATCCGTATGCTCGGACTGCTCAAGCATAGCACTTGCACGCGCTCTCACATGTGGTCAGAAGCCTTTTTGGGGCGATGACTGCGCGAAAACAGCATTCGCAGAGCGCTGGTTCAGGTCAAAGGCGGATTGCAGTTCCTGCAGGCGCCATTTGGGAAAGTTACCACGGTTCCTGGCTCACAGACAAGACCTCACAAGCTTGATTAAGATCAACTTTTGTCAGGAACTTGATATGCAAAAATTGAGACCTGCCTAGAGGTCGGATTGATTACAAGACGACTGGCTCTGCCAGGATGACGCATGTAGAGCTTCAAAAACATGTTGCATATCCAACAAGACATCAGCTGCCATCCTACGTCAAACCAGGCAGAGGAACAGTCCACGGAACAGAAGGGCGTTGGCCTCTCTGTCACCTTTAGTTAAAGATGAGCTCCCGTCAGCAGCCTGGTTGGTTGACACGCTCCTGGTATTTACAAAGTCAAATCCAAGCCTGCAGCTTGACCTTCAATTGTCAGGCCGCAGGCGGATGCACGCAAGATGGAGCCTACGCCCCACGCATTGTAAGGCCATGCACACGGAATGCCTCCTATCAATGCTGAAAATGTGCAAGAAGCGGCCCTGTGCTTGTTGCAAGGAAATCTCACACGCAAAAAACACTCTGTTGTTGATTCCCAGGTCGCAAGACCTCGTGTTGCAAGAGCAATCAACTTCAAACAGGCCATTGTTTTTTGAATCTACTCGTCAATGAGCCAAAGCGTATGCTTGGCAACCTGTCTGCACCCAAGAATAGATGAGACAAAAAAGCATTGTCTTGCCAAGATGCGCAATGGTGTAACAGCCTTCGCACCTCACCAACCTCAGAACGGCGGCCGGGATACTGACGGAGCAAGTGCAAACAGCTTCCGCACGATTAGCAGTGCCAGAGAGAACCCAAAGTTGCAAAGCCTGGAAGAGCATTCGAGCGCGTGAATGCCGATTGCTGCAATAGTGGAGAAAATATGGTAAAAACAACAGCAGTGAAGTTGCAGCAGCAACTGTCGGGGCAGGAGTATTCGCTGCAGCAGCGGCAGCAGGAAAAAAAGAGTAGCAATGGCTGTTCCAACTGTAGCAGTAACAGTATGGACAGTAATAGGAGGAGGACGTAATGGTTTTGGCAATAGTCATCGAAGTTGTAGCGCTTGTAGTTGCTGTGCGGCTACGGTACGTGTGCACGTCGTTGTCGTGGCAGTAGTAGTATTAGTACTAGTAGTAGTAGTAGAAGTAGTAGTAGTAGTAGATGATTCCTTTCGCGTAGATGACGTGAAGTTCTTGCGTCCTGGCAGTAACCATGACAACTTGTTGCTGTGGTTCTTCAGCTGGAAATTATGCAAGCGTGCTGTGTCGAAGCGCTCGCGTCAAAAATGTAAGCAGAAAACCAGATTATGGGAGAGGTCTCTACACTGTCCGTTTACCTCAACCGGATAAAGTTTGCCATGCCCAGCTGTATTGGAAGTTGCACCATTTTCGTGTGTGCGTGTTGGCATTGGCCTCTATATTTTTTCCTAAATCTTGTCAAGGGCTCTTTCTGGTTTGGGCGAAGGCCGGTCTGGCTGGTTTTTCAGGCTTAAACATGCCTGCACCCTGGCCAGAACTTTTTTGAGCCTCTGTATACATGTTTCCATTTTTGATATACGTTGGACTAATCGGACGAGACTGAATTTTATGAAAGCCCTCGAAACATTGGCCCAAAGCAGCGCGCCCTGGACTAATGGGGCGAGCCTGAATGAAGAAAACTTCTCACGGCAAAACAGTGGAAACTGAAACAGATGCAAACTTCAACGATCAAGCTAAGACCTCAGCTTTGAGCAGGTCACAACTACTTACTACGTCGCAGTAGTAAAAGTAGTACTGCTTCTTCCAGGACAACGAGTACTACTACTACTACTTCCACTACTACTACTCCTACTACTACTACTACTACTACTACTACTTGGCTACTGCCTCGCAACTGCAACAGTGACCACAAATAGAAGCACAAAAAAAAAACACAACTGTTTTTAGCCACCTGCACTGGAAACATGAATCACATTTCAGGATCCTCGTGGATTTGCCAGACTTCTTGCTTCTGGATGGTCACATGTCAGACGTTTAATGTTAAAACCCCCCTGCAGCCAATGGCTACTGTCAATACAGTATACCGTTGGCCCCATGGCCCTATCCAGATTATTCTGCGCTCTCTCACGCGCCAAGGTGGAGGGTATCCAACTCCTTGGCCATGGCCAACTATCAGTTATAAGACTCATAGGCCATGAGCCCTCTCCTCTCCCTCACACTTTGCAAACAAAACACGGAACAAATTTCATTGGCAATTCACTCACTCCCTCTTTCCTCTCACACTTTCCGGCAACTCACTCACTCCCTCATTCCTCTCACACTTTCCGGCAACTCACTCACTCCCTCTTTCCTCTCACACTCTCTGGCAACTCACTCGCTCCCTCTTTCCTGTCACACACTCTCCGGCCCCCGCCATGTCACCCGTGAAATCTAATTTGCATCTCTGAAGCAAAAAGTTGAAATTCGCAAGGTTCCAACGCTGCCTTTGCTGGTCAATCATGAGAAGAACTCGCGCACACTGCAAAACTTGAAACATGCAAGCTGTTATCAAAGCTGCGTTGACTTTTCCAAGACTTGCTGCGACGCGAGGGTACTAGGAGGGCAACGAAACAACGGCCTCAAGCAACTGCCCAAAGACCAACGCCGAGGTCTCGCCGTCTAAGCTCTGCGGACATGGCGCCATCAAGGAAAGTGCCGAAAGGCAGGGATGCCCAAGAGGCCAACAGGAGGGGGAAAGCAAACACCCTCTCCAAAAAAGAAAAAGTAGTTTGGAAAACCTGACCTTGCCAACCAACTCCCCAGCCTAAAATGAATTTGGAGGATTTAGGCCTGGCCAACTCCCCAGCCTAAAATGAGTTGTGCTTTTTTGGGGGGTCTGGTCATAAGAAAATCTTTATCCGACTGTTATAGGAGCGAGGCAGCGCCCAAACAACTACTCCTACTAGGCCTCGCCGCGTTAAAAGG